TGCACCTCCAAAGTAGTGAATCATGTACATCCACTCATAGATCGGTACAATAACCACTGTCAGAGTTAAATAGAGACGAATTTGTGGTATTCAAAACACAGCTGTAACCGATTATTTACACGATGCCGCGCACCAACAAATATCTCTTTCCTACGATTTCAACCCGAACGGCCCAAAATCTCCAAAAATAATCGTCCGTTTACAGCGTAGTAAACATTAGAATGCGCTATGAATAGTACGGTATGCTCTTGAAAATATAAACCATTTATATTTAGTTCGGGCGCTCCAGTACTTATGTTGGCCCAATTCTAGTTCGAAAAGAAATATATCGTTCGTTAAAGTTTGGTTTATTTTGATTAATCTGGGTTTTAGTGTTCGAAATTTAAAATTAATGTTTGTAGAGGAGAACGTTAATCATCGTGACCTTAGAGATCCATTGTGTCTCCCTTTCTTGAGTTATTACTTATCAATATAGTCTCAGGGCTATGACAAAAGCAAGTATCTAAGACGATTTTACAGAAGAGTCATGTCGGCGCACTCAGTAATGAGGTGTTCTGGTGTTTCCCGTTTTCTTCACAGAATCTGCATTCGCAGTTGTTTCTTAGTTTTAATCTACTGAGGTGTTCATTCAAGAGACAGTGCCCTCATTGTTCCTACTTAAATCAAGGGAAATATTTTTGATTTTTCTCGATCGTAGGTTCTGAAAAATTTATTCGAGTTTCTTAGACCGTTGGAGATCGTAGGTTCTGAAAAATTTATTCGAGTTTCTTAGACCGTTGGAGAGTTTCCATTCCTGGTTACGGATGGAGTCTTTTTTTTGTCTTGAAATATTTTCAAGAATTAAAAAAAATCTTGTCTTGACTATTTCTTCAGACTTGATTTCTTGTCTTGATTCAAGAAATCTTGAAATTTCTTGATATCTTGACAAAAGGGGAACCCCCGTTTAAAATTCGTTTATTAAAGGGGAACCCCCTGTTTAAAAGTCGCGGTGAGATTGGTTAATGTGACGTTTATGCTTTATGCGTAAAATCGAGGGTCAAGCATCTAATTTTCAAAAATTTCAAAAACTTTGGGCTCATTATACTTTAGTAGCCAAAATCATCAGATTTACATAATTCTGTTAATTATTATTATTATTATCTAACATTAAAATGAGTGATTGTGATGGTTCGTTGAGCAGCAAATCTGAGCCATTCGTAATTGAATCTGGTTCAGAATACCTACCACCTCAGACACCTGGACGTAGAAGTTTAATTAGTGACTTTGACAGTAGTGACGGTGATAATACTACTACAGATAAAAACAGTCAAAACAACAATGATAAAAGCTACTCTACTTCAGTGGCGTACATTAAAATGTATTATTTTTTTTTATTTTAAAAGTTTTACGTTAATTCAAAAAGTCTGTATGCCACTGAAGTAGACCCGCTTTGCAAAGTTTTTTTTATCTAATATCGTAGGCCATAACATATCCAAAAAATTATAAAAAAAACATTTAAAAATTAAAAAATTATTAGGCATTAAATTATTATTTATGTTTTATTTTATATTTTCAAGAAATTTCAACATTTTCTTGATTTCTTGTCAAGAAATCTTGATCTTGAGAAGTGATTTCTTGTCTTGTCTTGAAAACCAAAAATCATTTCTTGTCTTGATCTTGTCTTGGAATCAAGACATAATCAAAAAGTCGTCAAGAAAATGACGACCCCTATCCGTCAGTTTATGCAAGTATAGAATCCAGAAGCACAATAAATATACGATCAGTATTTTTATTATATTTTTCAGTGATCACACTCCTTAAAACGTGCAAAACGTTCATAATATTACTTAAGTCTCTAAAAATAATAGGATTACATTATTATCGAAACCCAGTGACCCATTATATATCTACGTTACCTTCGGCTCTATTTTTAACCTGCGACATTGTTCCTTGTTTCGTTATCCACCTGATTTAACGGCAAATAATATATATTCATAGCAGATGTAGCAGATGTTCGACTCGCCAATCTGACAAACTATGCGATCATCGAAAATAATACCACGATCTGGATCTGGATTCTATTATATCGATCACTGACGTTCGGTATCGATCTATAAATAGTGAGTTTTATAGTGAAAGTTCGTTTTTGTAATGCAGGAAATAAAGAGAATGGATTAGCAAGTTAAAAGTACGATATAATCGAATAAAAACGCCGTCAAAGACGGCTGGGTAATGACAAGCGGTGATAATTTTGGCGAGGTATCTAGATGTTATTTACTAAAAATTGACATAAGACTCAAAAATTAACACTAATTATACAGGGTGTTTCAAAAAACATGTGCCATCTCACGTGGGGAGATTCCTCACGTAAAAATAAGATTTATTTTTCATATCAACATAGGTTCCATTCTGCTTTGTTTCGTAGCTACAGGGTGTTAAAATCTTAATAATCTTTCGATTAGAAGTATAAGTGCTGTGTATTTTAATGCAAAAAAAGTGTCGATAAATTCATCAGGAACGTGATATGGGTTATCACTGGAATATTTTTCAAAAAAAAATGTGCGCCATCAAATTGTGTTACTCTATTATTTATTCTTAACTAAGCCCTAATTTCTTCACTGTAGTAAGCTTTAAGTGGCCCCATAAAAGTCTTCTCAAGAGGCTGAAGTTTATAAGTCGAGTGTGGAGGAAGAGATATGCTTGAAACATGGTTTTCCCTTGCTAATTTGATTATGTCCAAATTTCTAGTATGACTGTAATGTCCATCCAATACAAGCAGCACTGGGAACTCTTCAGTTGGCTTAATAAATTGAATGAAGTGGTTGAGCCACATGGTAAATAGATTTTGCTGAATCCAGCCACTGGGGTGAACTGCATAGATAAATCCGGGTGGTGCACCACGCATAAGCTGATCGTTTCAGACTTTTTTTTGATATCAAAATTGTGAAGGCCGTTTAAGACTATGTAAAGAAACATAAAAGAGTTTCTTAAATAAATTCAAAGCAGGTTGAATAAAGTACAATATTAAAGTTCCTGCCCAACGTAGCAGAAATTTAAACTACACTCCATTTAAACCGTTCTTTGTTTCTTAAACCAATAGATTATTCTAAATACGCTCCTGTGCAACCCTTTAAAGAGGATGTATAAGTCTGGCCGGAGTCGACGTAATCGATATCCAGAGTGCCGTGAAATTTTATGCGACACACACAACGTTGCTCTATGCCGGCTCTACACTGCTTTGGGAAAATTTGAGCTGGTGGTTTGAGAATGAAAAAAAAACGTAAAAAAGTATGTCTCTCTTGTTAAAATATATGTGTTTTCTGTATTTTTGTACTTTAACTAAGTAATGAAAGAGGAGTAATATTCTAATTATAATATAGTAAAGCCGCGTGTACAGGGTGGGTCAAATTGGACACTTTTAAAAAGAAACACCCTTTTCTATAGGAGATAGACGAAAACTAATATCAAAAACATGACGGTAAGAGCCGTATATCGATATACCGGATGCGTCTCTAAAGTGGCTCACCCCTACAACTTTTTTTATTGTTTTAGATAAAAAAAAACGAGATTTAGTATGTTAGTATATGATATAAATTAGGATTGATTGACGTATTCAAATGTTAAACTTTTGATTTTTAAGTGTTACCCTCGTTATATTTTAGCTTTATTCGATAGAAAACGGCATTCTGAATAGAATGACATATCATTAGGTCAACTTTTGACATTTTCGCTTAAAAAAATCGTACTTTAAATTTCAATCTAGAGATAAAAACACTAATTTTTAGTCAAGGAGCCTTGGAAAAATAGATTTGATCGTCAAATGTTTTTCGTGTCTAGTCCTGGCCAAAAGTTTCCCAAATCGTATTTTCAATCATATCTCATTTTTTTTTCAAATACAACAGGGATGGCTCATTAGCATATTTGGAAAAAGCATTTTTTTTACGAATAATTTGCTATCACACACATGTTATTTCGAGTCAACAAAATACCGAGTGTGCCATTTCAAAATCCAAAGTTATAGTCATTTTCGGTGAAACAGGAAGTAACAGAAAACAATTGAATACGTCAATCAATCCTAATTTATGTCATATACTAACATACCAAATCTTGATTTTTTATCTGAAAAAATAAAAAAGTTATAGGGGGTGAGCCACTTTTCAGGCGCACCAGGTATATATTACCGTTTCGCTTTTGCAAAGCAAAAAAGTTACTTGCTATGAAAAATTTTATATTTATATGAAAACATTTCCAAAGCACCTTTTTACGTAGAATTTAATGGTTTAAGTATAAGTTTTTTAAAATTAATCATTTCATTAAAAAACATATTCAATAAGAAAATAAATCTAAAAGTCTGAAGTGTAGGACAGTCTTTAGAAGTTAAGCTCTCCAGCTTTCCGGCAGTTTTCGGCGAAATAATTCTGGAAAAGCTGGGAAAATTATTAGACGCGAGCGAAAAAGCATCTGACAATTTTCTGTTTTGGCTTTTCTCTGGGGTCGCATAGAACGACAGAAAGTCTGTTAAATTACATCCACTACATGCCGTTGTTTCTTTATTCTATTTGAGTATTCGATGTGGGACACACATTGTCTCGTTGCTATGAAAATGTACATAATTTAGAAAGAGTTCTAAGGTTTTCGGGTTATGGAATTGCCAGCATGCAGTCCAGACTTAAACCCGATAGAACATTTATGGGATGAGCTAAAACGAAGAATTCGTGCTAGACGAAGAGCCCCAACCTCTATCCCAGAGCTCATTGTTGCAGTAGAGGAAGAGTGGCTTAACGTAGTGGTTAACATAAATAAATTAATAAATAAAAACATACTTCTTAGTAATAAAAAACGATAATTTCTTTCATGCATTAATTTAATAATTTTAATCCAAAGGAACTAAAATACAAATTAATATCTCCAACCTATTTTCAAAGAATATGAAATTGTTTTTCAAACAGCATATATTTTTTCTTAATCTGACAAATAGATTCTAAAAAATATATAGTTAACTTCAAAAATTTGCCTTGGGCCGATTTCTATGCACGCAAGTGTATATTTCTTGGTAGATATTAGATTATTAGAACTTTGGGATCCTCTTCTGATCATTAAGTTACATTCTCCAGTTCTATCCTTTTCTATAAGACTATAAAAGTTGGAGTTGGTTTTCAAGAACTTGGAGACTGACTCTTAGTACACCCACTACATCTTTTACTGTCTTGGATGACCTTAAAAACAAGTTTATAGTAGATTATGTTAGGATCAATCAATAATCACTATGTAATTGTCAACATTAATTAGACTTCTTATTAAAAATAAAACAAAGTTAACAAAACACAAAGTTTTTCTTTCTACAGCCTCATTAATCTCCTGTAAGATCTCCCTCATCTTTTCCAAGTAGACCTCGTCAGCAGTTTGTGACTGATTTCAAGAAAAAAACAACTTCAACAAGAGATAGATGATGTAGTGGCTCTCGACTTTCGCTTACTCTACCCTATCATCCTGCTGAGTGAAACCCCTTGATAAAATTTCCTTTTCTTTCTTGTTATTGGGTCAGATGTCAAGTGTTTTATCTAATTAAAGTGATTAGCTTAAGGGGCTGGGTATAGATAAGACAAAGCCGTGCAAAAGCAGACACATTTTATTACTTTTCAGTTTAAAACATGGACAAATTTAAACTATTGTTCATCTGCCGACAATTAAGAAAATATACGTTACAATATGTGTTGATGTAGTGTAGATATATCATTTACCTATTACATTAACAACTGTGCTATTCTATATTTATCTGTTTTTTACATAGCAACTGTTAAAATTGCCTTATATCTATCAAAAATAGTACATAAAATAGTACTTCAACCGCAAGGGTAAATTAAATGATACTTTAACAGCAAGGATAGGTTAAAAAAAGCCCTATAACATAGGATAAAACATTTTGATGAACAGTTCTTCCCATAAAATGAATAAAATTAAAAATATACGATATAATATACATGTACTGATTTCTTTCGAAAATCGACAACTATGAAACTATGCTTTTAAAAGTTAGATGTAGAAATATTTTTAAATTTATATATTTTTTTGCTTCGACGTTTTTTAAGCGTCAAATCCAGGGTTAAATCTTTTTAAGGTGCTCTCTCAATTTTAAATCTAATAACTTAAAGAACTGAATTATATCTTAATTAAATAAACAATAAAAATAATAATACAAAATAAATATATGTCCTGTATTTCTCTTAAGATTGAACAAAACAATTACATACATAACGCGTGTTGTTCCCATGATAACTCTCTTTCAAACAAACTTGTTCCTTTACACGCCACCTCGCTGTTATCTTTTAGTCTTTCATCCACAATCATGGTATTGGGATCCATGGAAATTCTAAACAAATTCTTATCGATCCACTCCAAACAAACCAGATCATTTTGAGTGATATGCTCGTACATTTGAGTGTGCCTTTCCCTAGAAGGATACAATGCTGTGATGGTGGTGTTTGTGTATTTGTTTTCATAGAAAGCATGGGGCGATTGAGACTCCTGGCATTTAGTTTTCCTGTTGGTTTGAACGATTTTGTTCACTGAAGGATTCTTGTAATAATACTGATAGTGATGATGGTCGTTCGTTTGAGTGTTACAGCTGTGAGAAATGTGTGAACTTTTGATTCCTTTGATACTCTCTTCATTATCAGTCTTTGACGGTTTTTCGTATTCCGCATTTCGAAATGCAATGGACTGTGTTAAAAACTGGGGAATAATTGAAGGATATTCTTCATCGATACAGTCTCCTTGCAACTTAAAATGCGTCCTGTCTTTTCTGATTATATCAACACTTACTTCAGGTTCTTTGTCGGAAGCTTCAAAACTGATTTGATTCGTTTGCAAAAGGGACATAAGTTTATACTCTCTTTCTGGCCTGACCACACTCAAAGGACACATATCCAAGTCAGCACAGATTTGCTTCAGTAGAAATAAGCTCTGGTTTATTTCGGAATCAATCGCTTCCTTATTTTCCTGCAAGTTTTGCTGGCGCAAAGTAAAATCAAAATCTTTTAAGTTGAGGAATTCGTCGTAGGTTTCCAGAACCTTTAGGCTGGCTTCACCGCTGCTGGACAGGCTGTAATAAGACGATCTTCTCGTTTCAATGTTTCGGTTGTCTTCGGACATTTCGTTGGTATCTTCGGTCTCAGAGTTAGATGATGGCATCTTCTTGTGTTTGCGTCTCTTCCGTTTTGTTTTGATAGATATTCGGGGTACTTTGGTTACGAAATTTGTGTGGGACATTATTAGACAAGGAATTTTGACAATGACTGCTGTCGTAACCAACGACTGACGTTAGCTTTCATTTGAATCTGACCTTTGACGTTTCAAATGATAAAAAATATAGTAAAATTTTATAATCAAAGTTTGTTTAGGTTAGGTAAGCTAAAACATACACAAAAAATATTTTTGTGTATATTCAATTTATCTATACTAATATATAAAATCCTTAAGTGACTGACTCACTGATTAATCACGATCCTGCTCAAACCACTCAAGGTAAAAAGCTCAATTTTGGAATACAGGTTGATTCTAGGGTGTAAAGGTTCGATAAGAAGGGATTTTTCGAAATTCCAGTTCCAAGAGGGTGAAACCACCCCTCAAATATTACAATATTTTTTTTATTTAAAAAACGGTCAAGTTTCCGAAAAAACGCTTAAACACGTATATTTTATTTTGTTGTTTTACATATTTCAAGATTTTTTAAAAATTTATACAGGGTATTTCATAAAATATGACCATTGAGTAATCACGATTCTGCTTAAACTGCTTGACGTTTAAAGCTGATTTTTGGCAAACGGATTGACTGTGGGGTGTAGAGGTTCGATAAGGAGGGGTTTCTCGAATCTCAAATTCCAAGTGGGTGAAAACGCCCTCAAATATTACAATATTTGTTATTTAAAAAACGGTTAGTCTTTCGGGAAAACGTTTGGACACGCATAATTAGTTTGTTTTTTTACATATTATTTTGAAATTTTTAAAAAAATCATACAGGTTGTTCCAAAAAGTTGGGTAATTCATTAACCACGATTCTGCTTAAACTGCTTGACGTAAAAAGCTTATTTTTGGCAAATGTGAGAAAATTTTATCCAGTTTGTATGTTAATGGAAATTCTTGCCTTGCTTTATCATCACCTTTACAATTCGACGCGAACGAAGTCGCGGGTACACGCTAGTATTTAATATAAAATAGACAAAAAATTTACACTATTAACAGAAAAATTGAAAAAAGTATCCATAAATAAATCTAGAAAAAAAAATCGAAAATATATCATGAGGCTTTATACTTAAAACATGGATAGTTTTACTATTTTTAGTATGTTTAGGGGAGAGTGTAATATATATTTCCTGTGGAAATCTGAGCTAGAAACGAAAGGTAATACTGCATTAAATAGTGGTTATCCCTTTTTTATGGTATTATGTAAAAAGAGCAGACATAACAAAATAAATGTAGCTTTTTGAAATAAATTTTAATTTAAATTTGGATGTGAAATGATTAGGATTATTTAATGAAAATAAAGCTATATTTTTAGTAAAGATCACAGATACTTATTGAATGAAAACTGTAGAGTCAAGTGGTGTAAAAATTGGACACAACATATTTAGTTAAAAAATGAGACATTCAAATAGAACTACTGAAAACTTATATTCAGTCAGTTTTCTTGTTGGGAACATTTAACAATAATTATTGTTTACAGATCATCCCCATAATTTGTTTAATCTTTACGTGATGAATCATGGAAAAACTGAAATTAGAAATCCATGGTTTGTATTGCTGTTTAAATGAAGCCCTGTTGGTATGAGAAATTATACAGAAAGAAATAAAACATGTGCAAAGTACTGAGACTGGCATGTATCTGCATCACAGGTGCAATGAGAACATGTCCAACAGCAGCAATGGAGGTCATTCTAGACCTAACACCACTGCACATTGTCGTCGGTAGTTATGCCAATGCGACAATGATTAGAATGGTCATTGACGGTAACAGTACTTGGAGAATTTTCAGGTCAGGGGCTTGGAACACCCTCAAAAAAGAAAATTCCACTTCTCCAACTCCCAGTGGATGACATACCAAGAATTTACAACTTTGAGAAACACCTCACTGTAGTATTGAGTAATAAAAAGGATTGGAAGAAAGAAACGCTTACTCAGCATATAAAAGACCATACTATCACGTGGTATACTGATGCTTCAAAAACCAAAGCAGGGACAGGGATAGGAGTATTTTGGCCGAAAACTAAATACTCCGAACCAATAGGCACCTACCCCAGTATCCTGCAGGTAGAAATTTACGCTATCGAAAGATGCGTACAATTTATCTTAGATAGGAACTATCGAAAACAGGAAATTGCCATGCTATCCGATAGTCAAGCAGCACTTAACGCGATCAACTCAGTAACCATCAATTCGAAGTTGGTTAAAGAATGCCTAGAGAAGCTCAACAAATTAGACAAAGAAAATAAAGTCCTCCTACTCTGGGTGCCTGCTCACCAAAAGATAGATAATGAAAAAGCAAATGATCTAGCTAGGAAAGGAGCGAACACTCCACTAAGTGGACCAGAACCGTTCTGTTTTCAAAACGGGAACCAATTAAAAGCGGAACTGAAGAATCTGGAAGACTCCATCCGTAACTTGGAATGGGTGTCCTCCAACGGTCTAAGACACCCGAAAAAGTTCCTCAGAACTTACGACCGAGAAAAATCAAAGGTTTTCCTTGATTTAAGTAAAAACAATCTTCGGATTGTCACGGGGTTTCTAACAGGACACAGTCTCCTCAACGAACACCTCAGTAGGCTGAAGCTGAGAAACAACGGCGAATGCAAATTCTGTGGGGAAAATGGAGAAACACCAGAACACCTTATCACTGAGTGCGCCGAGACGACGACCATTCGTGCCATGAACTTTGGTACGTCTGATGTCGAGGATGGAGAGCTGGCCTCTGTGGAGCCGTCTCAGATACTGGCTTTTGTTAAAGCCCTGAGACTGTATGATGAGTTATAACTCGTTATAACTCAAGAAAGGGGAACACATAATAGATTTATAAGGTCGCGGTGATATTTTTTCATATTAATTAAAAATGTAGATAAATAATGTTTTAAATAAAGACATTGTATAAAAATTACAAAAAAAATTATTTGAATTATACTAATAAAAAAAAATTATAATTCAACATATTATTAAACACATAATTTTCTTCAAAGAGAAAGAAAGGAAGTTGTGTGATACTATATATGACCAAAAATGAAATAAAAATGTATTGATTAGTTACTGCCCTCGAATATGTATATTAATAATTTATATCAGACATTGGCATAAGCTGTTTCTTACAGTGTGAATATTAAAATATATTTATTATTTTCCAAGACATTCAATTTTCCCTCGTGCAAAATAAAGGATCATAATAAATTTTCCATAAAACACGTCATTTTTTAACCAGATTTTTTATTTTTCTTTATTCCCATCTTTTTGTTTTTCTTTTTCGGCCTTGTCATCTAAATCTAATTACCTTGAAAACCTGACATTCTCCTCCCTGAGCTGTGTTTTATTTCGCAATAAAATATCAATTAAAAAAAATCTTTGACTAAGGGAATTTTTTACTTAAAACGGCCTGAAGGTCGTTTATCAAAATCAACTGCTTAATTGAGAAAAAATGGGGGGCTTAATGGAAAAATTCCCGAAAAAGTGTTCCGAAGGTTCCTTAGGGATGTGGCTCATCAATTCTTGTCGGGAGATCTGCAGGGAAGACAACAAAAAACAACATCCGTAGAAAACGCTTTAAGAGATTGGCTGACGTGTGTGTAGTTGTAGTTTTATCTGTGGCCATACATTTTTCATGTATGTACAGGGTGACCCATTTTGGTTGAAATCATACGGTATCTCCGTTATTAGTAAAGATATGAGGATGCGGTTTGCACAAACGTTCTCGCCTTCGTCTCTGAGCTACAGAGTCTTTCTCATTATTTTACAATTTAAGAGAAGGGGAAAACTGATCCTTGTAGTACTTTTTACGTAGAATACAGTGGCGTAGTCTGTTTTTCTACGAAAAAAATATTTTACTTTACTTTACTTTAATAAACTATTACCACTGAATATCTGAAGATGTTTTTACATAACGGGATGGGTTTGCACTGTTTGCACATACCTAAAAGCTTGACTGGTAGCCTTTTCCAGGTCTTTGGCATTGTTGTAGTTACCACGATATATTTCATATTTCAAAAATCCCTAAATACGGATAAATCCGGGAAACAGGGAGACTATAGTATGGATCCACTGGTCCCAATTCATTGATTTGGGAAATAGTAATTTAAAAAAAAATCAAAAAGAAATTCAAAATTCTAATATTTTTAAAGTTGTGAGGGGGAACCCCATCTAGCCGAAAGTATATTTCACGCGAATTATCTAAAATTTCCGGTACGACAGCTTCCAAGATTTACAAATAGCGGTAGATAGTTTTTTTAGAATTTTTTAACCGACAGCGTTTTTTAAAGACACTAAAAACATTAGCTGATCAAATTTATTTTTCCAGGGCTCCTTGATTAGTGTTTTTAACACAGCCCTGGCACTCTAGATTGAAATTCAAAATACAATATTTTTAAAGCAAATATGTGAAAAGTTGATATTGATATGGTCATTCCATTGAGAGCGTCATCTATCGAATAGAAAAATACAGAGGGTGCCATTTAAGAATCAAAAATTGTAGTCATTTCTGGTGAAACAGGAAGTGACTGAAAATAATTGAATACATCATTCAATCCTAATTTATGTCATATACTAACATACCAAATCTCGTTTTTTACCTGAAAAATAAAAAAGTTATAGGGGGTGAGCCACTTTTAAGATGCACCCGGTATAGAGCAATAATATTACAACGAAACAAATTTTATATATTCATCAAGCATCGTTTTAAAGAAGTAAAACCTAACATAGCAACCAAAACATAACCTAAAACTCTCCACAATATCCCACAAACCTACCATAACAGAACTTTAATCCATATTAGATACCACACACACTCACAAACAATACTTCGGCAAATCGCGAAAAAAAACCGACACGCGCGTGCAATCGACGGATCCGACGGTTTTCACACCGATTTTCGAAAAACTGACCGAATTGAATATGCAGACGGGCGAACAGATGAGTAAGCGACGTGCGTCCGGCGAGATGATCGACGTCGCGGTGGCGAGAAGGACGCCGGGCGTCGGGTCGAGAAACTCGGCGTCGGGGAGCGGGCGACGCGTAGCTCGTGGCGAGCGGTTGAATGAGGGAAGCGATGGGGAGACGCGCGGTTGCCGAT